CATTGATTAAAAAAGGGTTATAGTTGTTGTAAATTATATAGATTTTTGTTGTGCCACAAATGAGGTCTCAATCTTTCATTATTGCAGTGTCTAAAGGGTCATTTTCTCTTTTGATGGTTATCCTTAAAGATGATAGATTGTTAAGATTGAGAGTTTTTTGTTTTGATAAGTTTATTTTAAGAGTTTTATATCATTCAATTTATATTCTTTTTAATTATTCTATCAGATTTTATTTGAGGTAAGAAGATCAAAACACTCTCAATCACTCCTACACCTATTAATGTTGATATTTAATGTTGATTATCATTATATTTTGGTAGTTCACATGCATTAGGATTTTGGCTGTCATTATATTCATATTAATTTGAAATGAATTTTTGTCATTGTGTTGTCAATTACATTATGTGAATATTCATATCATGTAATCGAAATGAATATTCACATTCATTTGAAATGAATTTTTGTCATTGTATTGTCAATTACATGATGTGAATATTCATACTAAAACATATGAATGTAAACGTTCACATCATTACATTAGATGAAAGAGAATGTTCACATGCTGTGAACGTTCACATTACTACATGTTGTGAATAAGAATGTGTTGTCAATTAAAAATAAGAAGGTTCACATGTTGTGAACGTTCACATCACTACATTAGATGGGATAGAATTTTTCGGAAGGGTGTTGTGAACGTTCACATCAGATGAAAAAGAATGCTCACATTATTTTTAATATATTGTCAATTAAAAATATATTCACATCAGATGAGAGAAAATGTTCACATTATTTTTAATGTGTTGTCAATTAAAAATATATTCACATTATAGAATAATATAAAATAATAACATTAATGTTATTTAATTTGTGTATAAAATTTCCTACGCCTTGGTCATTTCCCTTCTCTCTCCTTCCCCAACATTAAATATAAGGGCATAAGAGTCTAAAAAAATAGTGTAAATCAAGGGGAAAAAAAAAAAAGACTTTATGCAATAAAAGTATAAATACATCAGACTAAGCGGGTTAAAAATTCCTTCATGGACTTATTGGATTAGAACACTTCTAAATAAGATTTATCAATAAAAATCACATTAAGATTTAGAAAAATCTATTGGCACAAATTAGAAAAATCTTGTGTTGGTGATATATATATATAGTATTATATTAAGTGAGGCCCATTTAACAATAGAAAAACATTCATTTTTAATAGTGGGATAATTTAAAGAACTGTTTTTTCCAAACACCAAACGTGAATCGTAAAATTTCTTCTTTTCTTGTGTTTGGATTTAACTGTTTAAATTCCATGCTGGATTTGCTAAAGCAAGACAAGAAAGTTGCTTAGCTTGAAGCTTAATCTTCTGAATTGCTCAAGTATGTACGTCAGTCCATGGTTCTAGATTTTTTCCTAGTCTGGAATAAAGAATAGTTGTATCTTGGGCCAAATGTTCATAATAATCTACAATATAATTTAAACTACCAAAAAATCTCTAGAGTTGAGTTTTATATTTAATTTCATCTGAAAACTTTAGAAACAAATTCAATGCTTCTATCTATTGGAATAATAGTGCCATTATGAATATTATGGCCAAGAAATCTGACCGTTGTTTGAAAAAATTTCATTTTTAGTGCAGAAATCACCAAACCATTTCGGAGACAACATTTTTTAAAATATTAAGATGTTTAATATGCTGGTCAATAGAAGATGAAAAAATTAATACATTATGTATGCAACAAATTGTAAATTCTTTATATGAATTAAAAATATCATTCATAATATTCTGAAATTCAAATGGTACATTTTTTAAACCAAATGGCATACCATTTCATTTAAAATGCCCAAAAGGTATTGTAAAAATAATTTTATACCTATCTTACTCAACTATTTGGATTTGTCAATATCCTGATTTCATTTCAAATTTAGAAAATATAACAACATCCTGGGGACGATCTAAAAGATCTTTCTTATTCAGAAGAGGATATCTAATCCATTTCAAGGTGGCACACCTCTTTCTTTTTTTGTATTTTTATTAACATAAAATGCGGTACAACTCCAAGGGGAGTAACTTTTTCTGATTAGCTTCTTCTCAAGAAGAGTTGTAATTCACCATTGTTAGAAACAAAGCTAGACTCGTAGGCTAGCACAAGGGTACAGTGTAGAAGAATGTATTGATTTCGATGAAACCTTTGATCCGGTAACTAAATTATAAATCATGTGCATATTACTTGCATTTGCATATTTTAGAGATTTTAAACTTTATCAAATGGATGTAAAAAGTATATTTTTAAATGGTTTCGTAAATGAAGAAGTATATGTCAAACAACCTCCTGATTTTGAAAATCATGCTTTTTCAAATTATGTGTTTAAACTCTCAAAAACTTTATATGGTTTAAATCAAGCACCTTGTGCATGGTATGAACGTTTGAGCAAATTTTTGATCGAAAATGGTTTTAATAGAGGAAAAATTGACACAACACTTTTTGTTATAACGAAAAATGATGATATACTTGTTGTGCAAATAAAGATGATATTATATTTGGTGCTACCAATGAAGCTTTCTGTAAGGATTTTGCTAAATGTATGCCAGGTGAATTTGAGATGAGCATGATAGGAGAGCTACATTATTTCCATGAACTTCAAATCAGACAATATAAGGAACGGATTATATCAACTAAGCTAAGTATATAAAGGAACTACTTAAAAAGTTTGGTATGAGTGAATCCGAAGTAGTCGGAACACCCATGAGCATATCAATTAAGCTAGATAAGGATGGAAGGGATAAATCCATTGATCAAACAAAATATCGAGGTATGATCAACTCACTTGTTTGATTAACTGCAAGAAGACTTGATATTATGTTTCGTAGTTGCATGTGTGTTAGATTTCAATCAAATCCTAAAGAATCATACCTTAATGTTGTTAAAAGAATGTTTAGATATCTTTTTGTCATTCAAAATTTAGGGTTGTTTTATCCTAGAGGTGTAGCATTTGATTTGATCAGTTACTCGGATGTCGAATTTGACGGGTGCAAACTTGATAGAAAAAGCACTAGCAGTACTTGTCACTTTCTTAATAACTCATTAGTATCTTGATTTAGGACTGGTTTGGGGTGTCCTAAAAAAGTGCACTTTTTGTCTTTTTGGACTAAAAAAGTTGAAAAAAAAATATGGAGGTTTGGGTTAACTTTTTGACTTTTTATGGAAAAATGTGTATTAAAAAATTGTATAAAAAAAGTGTGTAAGAGAAGATTAGAGAAAAGTGGGCCCAGCCGTACAACCTGCGTGTGTGAATTGGAGTAGGAAATTATTGGCTAATTTTTTGGCATTGTACTAGACGGTTTTGTTTGGCCCGTGGGGGTCATAACGGGTCCCATTTTAATAATCTGAACCGTTCAATGTGTGTAATGCGTCGAACACTATGTACCTATAAAAAATCACGTTAATCGGATATCGATAGCTATCTGATCAGATTTATTTATTTTTCAATCATAAATTATAACACCATCCATTAGTTGTACATAACTGACTTGATCATATAGTTATCGATATCTGATCAATGTGATTTTTTGCAAATATATAGTACCTGACAATTTCTACACATTGAACGGTTCAGATTGTCAAAATGGGACCCTTGATAGCCCCCATGAAACGAACAACGGTGTGTGTAAAAAGCACACCCAATCATTTCTTGTTTTCCCCACTGCCACACAGCAGCTGCACGGGTCATCAATTCCGTGTGTACTTTTGTTGAAAAAAAATGATTTTTTTTTTTTTGATGAATAGTGATATCTTTTTGGATTTTGGAGTAACTTTTTGACTTTTTGACTTATACAGTAGATGCCAAACAAGCCCTTAGCAAAAAGCAAAATTTCATCGCTTTATCAACGATCGAAACTGAATATATAGCTTCAAGAAATTGTTGTGCCCGAGTACTATGAATGAAACAACAATTTGAAGACTTTGATTGGCATTATAATTATATCCATGTTAAATGTAATAATATTAGTACCATCAATTTAAGCAAAAATCCAATTCAACACTCACGATTAAAACATATTGAAATTTGACACCACTTTTTAAGAGATTATATTCAAAAAGGGGATATTGTTCTTAAATTTCTAAACACCGACAAATAATTAGCGGATATTTTCACAAATCCCCCTAAGCGAGGAACATTTCAATTTTATCTGTGGTGAACTTGGAATGTTTTTACCAAATCTCTCATATAGGTGTAGGACTCATACAAATACATATATGTGTAGTTTTCACACACATAAAAAGTTTGGTAAAAAAATTGATAAATTATTTGAAGTTCATAACTCAGGCAAAAAAATATCAATAATGCTATATCCTATCCAGAAAAGTATTAAGATGGTGACGTGTGTATCATAATTTTCCTATTTAATCTGTTTGTTTATTTTTTTATTATTTTTTTATGTGTCTTGACATGGTTTTTTTTTTTTTTAAATTGATGGTTTAAATTTTGTAATTAAGATGTGGGATTGTGATCCTCTTTATTACATATTTATAATGCAGATGTTCCATTATAACATCCAATAATGAGTGTAATGATTTTTCTCATTAACTTATTAAATAGTGCCAGGTTGTTTGTTTAAATTACTAATTTACAAAAAAAATAAAAAATAAAAAATTCCAACATGGTGCACATTCAAATTTTAAGACTAATTGTCTAATTTGGTTGCCTGAAATAGAGGGATTGTGATCCTCTGCGTTACATATTTATAATTAAGATGTGGGATTGTGATCCTTTTTATTACATATTTATAATGCAGATGTTCCATTATAACATCCAATAATGAGTGTAATGATTTGTTTTTAAATTTAAATTAATTATAAATTTGAAATTTTATTTCATAGCCATTAAATTTGAAATGAAAATCTTTTATTATATACATGAAATGAAGTCAACTTACATTATTTATATTTTGGTTTAAGAAACTTGTAATTTATTTCACTTGTGTATATATATATGACCCCCATACTTGGAAGACAGATCATATTTTTCCAATTGTATTGAGTTGTAGTTTGTTTAGGAGGTGAGGTTGTATCCAAGAAAAAGCAAGATGGCACTGAAAGTAGAAGTAATTTCCAAGGAGATGATCAAACCATCATCTCCAACTCCACATCACCTCATAAACCACAAGCTTTCATTCCTAGACCAAATTGTACCACCAGTCTATGTCCCTATGCTTTTCTTCTACGAACCAACCACCAAGTCAACCCACCACCATGAGGATACTACTGAAAAATCCAAGTTGCTAAAACAATCTTTATCAGAAACCTTAACAGTTTTCTACCCTCTGGCAGGAAGGATCAACAAAAACAACGTTTCCATCGACTGCAACGATGCCGGAGCCGAGTACGTGGAAGCTCGGGTCCATGATGCTCAGTTTTGGCGAGTCATCGAGCAGCCAAAGGCAGAAGATCTGAAACAGTTCCTTCCATTTGAGCCATATGATTTTGGTATAATGGGAGGGAGAGAAGTACTCCTGGGCGTACAAATAAACATGTTTGATTGTGGTGGGATGGCCATAGCGGTGTGTATTGCACACACGATTGCGGATGGGTCGTCGTTGGTGACGTTCATCAATGCATGGGCTGCTAAGTCTCGTGGGGCTGCTGCTGCTGATGACCATGTACCAAGTTTTGATTTGGCATCTTATTTCCCACCCAAAGATCACTTGTCTGGCTTTGCTCCTGCTACTGGCATCACCCACCAAGACATCCTCACAAGAAGGTATATTCTTATTTTATTTACACACCAAACCAAACTGACAGATCAACTAACATAACAAATAAATATGTAAAAAGATTGACAGAAGTAAGAAATATATATATATTACTTTTTTTTTTTTATTGACAAATGTTAGTTGTTAGTTGTTTTAGTATCTATGGATAAAATCTCATCACCCTTGGTATGGTGGCCAACTACGCTAGGCTTAGTTGGTTATATGTATATATATATTTACTTACTACTTAGGTTCATTTGATAATTAACTTTCTAAAGTAATTTTTTAGTAGAATGATTTGATAATTTATAAAAGTAAATAGAATAATTTGATAATTTATAGTAAGTTTTTTTATTTTTTAACAAAAAATCTCTTTGTTAGCAAAAATCAAATAAGACTGGGATAGCACAAGTTATTTCCTTTAAATATTGCTTCACATTGATTCTTTTCAACTTTTATTTTTATTCTCATGTAAATCTAACTGATCAATCGAGCAATACTAGAAACTCTAATTGAATTATCAAATATTTCATTAAATACTCACATAACACATACTTGATAATTTATTTGGAGTATCTATTATTTTTGATAGAAATCTACTTAATTAACTAGTGGTAAGCACATCTAAGCTTAAAGTAAACTTGATTAGAGTGAATTGAATACTCAACTAAAGTTTCGCAAAAACTAAAATGAATGAATTATCAAATATTCTATCAAATACACACATACAAAATATTTAATAATTCATTTATAGTATCTATCATTTTTGATAGAATTTTACTTAATTAACTAGTGTTAAGCACATCTAGCTTAAAGTTAACTTGAACAGAGTGAATTGAATACTCAACTAAAGTTTGGCAAAAACTAAAATGAATAAATAAGTATAAAAGGATAAAATATACTAATTTAGTTAATAATAAAAAATATCACATCAAAAAAAAAAAACTCTTTTATTATTATTATTATTTTTTTTCAAACCAACTAAATTAAAAAAACAAATTAAATTATAAAAAAAAAAAAAAATCAAACTAACTCAGTCTTCCCAAACCAAGACTAAGGCCTTGTTTGGTAAGTGATTTTTTTATCCAAAAAATCAAAAAGTCACTAAAAAAATCAAAAAACCAACAACTCATATAAAAAAGTCAAAAAATCTCTTTTCTCTCTACTTTTTGCACATCTTTTCGTAAAAAGCCAAAAAGTTATCCCAAACATACTAGTTTTTTTAGACCTCGTTTAGCAAATAGCTGTTTTAGCCTAAAAGTCAAAAAGTTACTAAAAAAATCAAAAAGCCAACAATTTATACCAATAAGTCAAAAATTCACTTTTCTCTTTACTTGCACATCTTTTTATAAAAATTCAAAAAGTCATCCTAAACATACTAATGTTTTTTACCTCAAATTTTAGCCAAAAAGTCAAAAAGTTACTAAAATAGCATGTTCCCAAACGAGGTCCTAATTCATATTTTAGCCAAATAGCAAAAAATTACTAAATTAACCGGTTCCAAAATGAGACCTAAGGCCTCGTTTGGCAAGCAGCTTTTCTAGTCAAGAAGTTAAATATCATTAAAAAAACCAAAAAACCAACAATCTATACCAAAAAGTTAAAGATTCCTTTTTCTCTGTGCTTTTTGCACATCTTTTCGTAAAAAATTAAAAAATTATCTCAAACAAATTAATTTTTTTTACATTATATTTCATTGAAAAGTCAAAAAATTACTAAAAAAATCTATTCAAAAAAGAGACCTAACTCATCAACTTGCGTTATCACTAACAGCCATCATGATGCATGTATTGAATTAGCTGAGGTGTGACTGAAGGAATGGCACTCGGTAGACTCTATTATTTACGGGTAGTGCTTAAGGAATATATTCTCATATAATAATGCGTCATATTTATATCTTATTCATTAAAAATTAAAATTTTTATTATTAAAATTTATAATTATCAAAATGTCATTATTATATTATTATGCACAAATATTATTTTATATTTATTTATATAAAAAAATTACTTTATAATTGGTACTTTATTAATAATTTTATTTAAAAAAAAAGAGCAAAACCATTTTATATAAAAAAATATATCACGGCATAATTTTTTATTTATTTATTTATTTTTATAGTGAGACAATGGAACATTAACTACTAAGAAATTAAGTAAAAATGTGTCCTTTTTAGTTAATTTCAAATAGGTATATTTCTTTCCTCCAAACTCAGTTTTAAACAAATTTTGTGCCTATATTGAAAGTCTAATTTTTAGTGATGATAGTTTCACATTCAAATTCTAAATATAAAGGGAGATATGATTTAAAAAAACAAAACAAAAAAGGAAGTCATAAATCTATGATCATCAGACATGACTACAATAAAATACTGTTGTCAAATAACTTTACTATTACAAGGATAGAATTGAAAAGGGCCCAATTAGATGTCAATGTCATTTTCACTATTACAAACACTTTCACTTTTTATCATAAAATGTTCTGCACGAAGTATTAAATGTCAAAATTATCAATAAGTAATTGAACTTGTACTGCAGAGATAATTTTTCTATATTATACCCATAAGTTTTATTTTGTGAATTTATATTTCACTAAATTTTAAATAAGATTTTTTACTCTTTCAAGTTTTATTAATTTTCCTTTTTGAAAGAAAAAGCCTCATTAATTTTTAATAAATAAAATTACCCTTCAAACAATGATGGTTCATCTTTTGTAATTATTTATAAAAGAGTATGGTGATGTGACATTATTTTGATTTTTAAAACTTAAAAACATCATAATTTTTACAATATATATTTATTTTTTATAAAATTTATATTCCTAGAATCAACACAATGAAATCTATCAAACAAGGTTAATATTAAATATAAAATTATATAAAAATAATTTTTATTATAAATTTACAATTTAAATCATTTTTAATAGTACGTTTTCTTAACTTACTTAACTAACAATATTTACTTGGTCTAATTTTTTTCTTATAAAATATATGGAGTTCGTTGAGTTAATTAAGAAAAAATTCCACATAAAATTGAATAAAAATCATACTTCAAATGATAAAGTTACACTAAAACTATAAATTTCATCCAAAAATTAAAAAAAAATTAGATTGCAACTATGAAATTTATCTAAAATAAATGATTCTTAATATTTGAAAAAAGTTTCAGTTTGAAAAAATTTCTTCGTTTAAAAAATTGAAAAATAAGTGAATTTAATATTTTCTTAATTTCTAACCATAAATTAAAATTTTAAACAAATAAAGTGTCTCTTTCACATATAAACAAATAAAAAAAAAAATTCAATTACGGAACAAAGAAAACTAAAATATTTCTTAGTTGATGAAACAATATAAGGAACATTTCTATGCGAAACTACGATATATATAAATATATATATTTCTTTTTCAAATTTAAAATTAAGAATATTATTAGTTTTAACACTGGAAAAAGGCTGAGAAATTTATTAGCTTTATTGGATAGTTTCGCAAACTGAGAAATTATTAGTTTCGTATAGCTAAAAAAATAATGTTTTATTTTTATAAAATTTAATGTTCAATATTGGTCTTGTTTGATAGGTCTCATCTCATAATCAGTCTCAATCTTCCCTTCTTTCTTTTCTCTATTCTTTTCACTCTATTCACTTCACATCTTTATACTGAATCCTATTTTTCTTGAATCCATCATTCGTGCATTCTATTTCATATTTAAGTCAACAATAAACAATGAAAAGACATTTCCAAGCTTGTTCTTCTTGTTCTTCTTTGTATAGAGAATGTAGGTCTTCTGTTCATCTTCATTGTTTTTGGTCAACAGGTTTACTAAATTTGTACAGAAATTCAGTACCGGACAAATTACATTTATTCGAAAACTTATTTCTGAAGAGATTTCATATATTCGACACTGTGTTTTTGAATTATTTTGCATTATTCAGTATTTACTATCTGAACAAATTGTCTATGTCTGGCTCTGTGTTTCCAAATATTTAATTTTCTAATTTCTCCATGTTTTAATTTCGAATAAAAGGAACTATCCGGTATTATATCTCCAAGAAAATTATATATGTTCATAAACTTATTTCCCAATTGATTTAATTTTATTCAATATTGAGTATATCTGAAAAAAAAAATATATATATATATATATTCGACTATGTGTTTTCATACTTTTAAACTTTCTAACTTCATGGGGGTGTACTTAGTATGTTTATAATATATTTTCTAGGGTTCTAAGGACATAATGAGTATTATTTGGGGTGAGCAAGATAAAAAAATAAATTTTAAATTTTAGAATGAGGTGTCCAAAGTATTATAATATCTAACCAATTTTTTGGGGTGCAAATAGAAACACCGTATTAGATTACAAATAAATTGTGGGACTTAATTTAGTCAAAAGTGTAGATTATGGGAACTATAAAAAATTACCTGAATAATGATTAAACCACATTTTTATTTGGATAAAAATATATTGATCTCCTAAAGTTTGAAAACATAAAAACTAACTCTTTAATTTTGGCATAATTAGACATGCCTCTTCACCTTCTCTTCGGCCCTTATGTTGGTTCCTTTGGATTCACCCTCGTTCTCATTCTCTTTACTTTCATTTTTGTTGTATGAAATAAATAAATAAAGCAAATAAAACAATTTAACTATGTTTTAAATAAATAAAACGTATGATAATCATCTAATTACATATTTGAATGACATTTGTGAATGTTCATTAACTTATCTTTAATGACATTAACAAATTTGTTATGCGAATTTAAGATTTAAAGTAGGTCGATGTGATTATGCTAAAATTATAGAGATAGTTGTATTTTCTCCAAATCTTAAGGAAGGTAAATTTATGGGATATCTTTATAATTATACTAAAATTGTTAGTTTCTTCAAATTTCAAAAAAATTAGTGTAATTTACCATTTTATTTTTATTAAAATTTGCAACAGGTTTGTGTTTGACAAGAGAGCACTAACTACACTCAAAGGAGTTGCCTCTACAGCCTTTGGATCACAAGTGAAGGACCCAACTAGGGTAGAAGTTGTCTCAGCCTATATATGGAAGCATATTACGGAGGCGGCTAAATTTAATAGAAACATTATGGAACCTGCAAAGATGTGTGTCATAAATCATGCAGTGAACTTGAGACCTAGGATGAGCCCACCTCATCCACAAAGCTCCATTGGAAACCTTTGGCGGGTCGCAGTGGGGCTATTATCGTCGGAAGCTAAGAATGGCTATCTTGACTTGATTAGCGAGCTGAGGACAGCGATAAAGAAAATTGATAGTGACTATATAAAAATGCTAATAGATGGAGATCGTTACTTGGATTTTCTTAAGAGCACAGGAGAACAATTCTCCACGGGAGAGACTGAGTTTTGTAGTTTTAGCAGTTGGTGCAGATTTCCAGTCTATGAGGCAGACTATGGTTGGGGTAGGCCTGTTTGGGTCTCCACCACAACCATGCCATTCAAGAATGTGGTGATTTTGATGAGTACAAGTTGTGGGGATGGAATTGAAGCATGGGTTACCTTGCTTCCAGAGGACATGGCTGTCCTAGAACGAGATCAAGAGTTCCTTTCACTTACCATCAAAGACGTCATGGCCTAAAATATAGTAGTGAAGATGGACGCAATCAACCTTCTATCCTCAGAATCTTTGTTGTCTTATCTTAATGCACTACAGTCGTATGACCATACCTTAAGATTATAGTATTTGGAAATTTCTATCGCATTATATGGTTGATACATTATCAGTAAAAGATAAGTACTTTCAGAACAGAGAATCCCTAGCTGAGGCAATCCATTCAATGACTCTGTTCATGGGGCCAATCCTCCATTTCCTTTGAAGGCACTTGGTTACATTTATTGTCTAGTGACAAGTACTCATTTAAGTGTAAGTGATGTTGTGAGTCTTAAAGTGTGACAAACTCGTTCTGCATTATGCTTTTAATTCCTCAATTGTGTATGTGCTTATGTACTAAGTGTGCATTTGAGTGATAATTATGTTATTAATGTGGTTTTGACTTTATATCTGTTGATCGTAAAAACATTTGTCATGATTTCTATTTTGATTTGAAAATTGAAGGCCTTAACGGCGTTAGAAAAAGAAATTGGTTAATTTATTGTGATCAACATTTGATTAAGTCTAAATTAATTAGATTAAACTAATTAGAAGTAAGTGTAATTAGTTAATCTTAAGCCTAGATTAACACCCTAATCTAATCCTCAAGTATAAATATGTTACAAATTAGGAGCTTGAAGCCTTAATCATAAATTGAACTAAAAAATTCTAAGATAGAGAGCTGTAGAGAGAGAGAACTCAATTTATAAAGAGAGACAGGAGCTTGAATTTGAAGAATTTGCTAAGAGGATTGAAGAATTGTGAAGTACAACTCAAGAATTTGCTAATTTGAGCTCAATTAAAGACCCTAGGTAAGCTTTTGAACCCTAATTCATGAAGTTAAGTTCTTTCACATACGAAATAAAGAAAATTATGTGATTGAGTGCAAGAATTAGGCTAAGATTGTTGAATTTAAAAGCAATTCATACATGCTTGTATAGTTTGGTTGAGTTTTACCATTTTTGAACATAATTATCTCATCCGTGTTGAATTTGAAAGATGAATTGTACATGCATGCACGAATTACAAGGTTTTGAAAGTGAATTGCATATTTTTGAAGCTTTGGAATAGAGTTTGAAATTTAAAATCAACATGCATGAAGAATTGGGTTTCATTTTGAAATATTCTTGAAGTATTGAGCTTTGATTTTACAAATTGGTCCTGAATTCATGTTTTTGGAAGAGTTTTAAGTCTTTGAGAAGTGGTTTACAAGCCATGCAAGAGTTTGTATTTAAATTGCAAGCTTTGAAGCTTAACTCTATTATGGAAATTTCATAATTCTGTCGCACCGATCGAGCAAACAATCTGTTGCTCGAGCTCACATTGCATGCATCCAGTATTTTTGCAAGCATTTGCAGTTGGCTGGAGCGACAGGGTGATCACTCGAGTGACTACCTTTTACTCTGTACCTTGGCTCGAGCAAACATCGAGCGTAGATTTGGACCATCCAGTACTTTTGTAGACCAAGTGGTCCGCTCAAGCGACCAAAGTTGACCTCGAGGAAAGTGCTCTATTTCAGCAAATTTTGGAAAGATATATACTGATCAAATGTGCATTCTCATTTCTTTTTGAGCATTCTTAGGCATGAATTGAACATCCTAAATGAATTAGAGGGATAAAATGAAGCCTAAGAAAATTAAATGAGTTAAAGAACAATCCGATTAAACAATGTGATTCAATATGTGTATGTTGATGAATTGTGCAAGATCATTCGCAATGACGAATCAACAATGAAATCACTCTGAGTAATATCTTAGTAAAGATATTTTCTTAATAACTCTATTTTCCATCTATCCTACTGTGGTAATTTTTTTGAAACTGTGAATTTGCAAAACTGAATGAGTTTCTATCAGTTTGATCATTTTGATATCTATAAACGTGATTGATGTGACATGAATGTGTATGATGGACCTATGATCATTCTGTATATATGAATTGGACCCAAGGTCGTTCCGTATATTTAGTAAGATGGACCCAAGGGCGTTCTGAACATCTAATAAGTCTAACCATCTGTTATGAGTTGACTGAATGGTCATTATACAGTTGTAAATGATTGGACCCGAGGTTGTTCTATTATGATTTGACTAATTTCATTATGTACAACTGATGGACAATGGTCATTCTGCTATCTGTTGGACCTCGAGGTCGTTCTGTTATGTATTGCTCATGATATATATAAATTCTTATGTCAATTACAAGAACTCATTCACATAAACCCTTTACTATGATGTTATTCACTAGGCATTAGCTCACTCTGTATTTATATGTATATAGGCAAGATTTGGTTTGGCCCGCATGCCATATTCACTGCCATTTCCCCAGCATTTTCATTATATATTACATTGTAGTGTAATTGTTGCATCCAGCATTAGGATCGTAGTCCTTTCCCCAGCGGGTCGTTTCCCCACCTTTGTCATTCCCCCCAATACTTGTTTTTGTGTCCGTCTACATTACTCATAGTTTTGTTGACCGTTCTATGGTAGACGGACTTGTTACCTCCATCAATCTATTTGACATAGGTGTGGTTTCGAACCGCTCATGATTGGATCATGATTCAATTGCATTGCATTTTCATTTGCATTGTTCATACATAGTTTTGTATATATTGCATATCATTTTGCATTCATTTTTGCATTGTCATGCATGTTGCTAATAACATTGCACCTGTTAAGTTTGCTTTCTTTGCAGGCACGATATTGTATGTACGGTTCGTTTGAAGCTGGTGCAACCAGACGAGCCGCACAGGTATTGTATCCTCCGAGTGAGACGTATCGAGAATTGCATAATTCTCTTACATCCTTTCTGCATTTGTAATGTAGTTGCATTGGTGTATGCTAGCTTAAAACTGTCACATGTGTGCTTCATTATAGCTTTCTTTGCATGATCATAAGTTATGACCGACTCTATGCATTGTCTTGCATCTTGCCCCGCCTTCGGGCGCATATCTTGTTTGTCTTGCACGATTGTCTGAGTCTTCGGCCTTGTCAAAAATGAGTCGTCTCTGGGTTTTGACATTCACTCCCGTCATTGTTATGACTTTCGAGTTCTGTCAAAGAGGGACAACTGTAGGCACCCCATTTTTGACCGTCCCCAAGACTTGGACGTCACTATTGGAACACTTGGTGATTACCCTTGTTTGTGTTCGTCTTGAGTTCCCGGAGGTCTCGGTTGCGCGCCTTGCCTCTAGATCTCTCGACTCGACCGTGTTGTGTCTGGTTTTGCACCAAACACTTGTGTTTTGCCTTGGAGGGGCAGGGAATGCCTTGTGAGGCATCCCCACACATCACCGACCATGGCTTGAGGCCACCGGCTAGTGATTTTATGCCATTGGCAATGTATATTGCCGGTCGGCACTCTTTATTGCCGGTCGGCACTCTTTATTGCCGGTCGGCCATTTATTTTGCCAAAATGGCAATTTTGAATGGCCGATCACTGTTCATCTACTTTTAGTAGATATTTTGTGCCAGCTGTGATAGCTGGCACCCACTCTACTCCCCTCCATACACGTGTATGGAGGGATTTCCCTCTTGGATGGCTTGTTTTGAAAGCCTTACAAGAGGGAGTTGCCTATAAGAAGAGGGCTCCTCTCTTGGCATGAGGGTTACAAAAAATTTCAGAGGGAGCTCTGGATTAAGGTTAGGGTTGATACATATTTCCTATCTCTATATCTCTCTCTTGTGTGTGTCTAGTGTGTGTTTGTACATACTATTGCACACAAACACATAGTGTTACACCTTCTCTTGGTTGTTGAGGGACCAGAGGGTTGTTCTTGGTGTTCTTGAGTGGATTTGAGCTCAAGGAGGCAACAAGATCATCATTTGTGAAGGAGGACTTCAAGGGTAAGAAACTAGTCCCTTTTTACCCCATTTTTCCACACTACTTTTACCTATCTTGAAACTATTTTTTGGATTTGCATATAATACATAAAAGTTCTGTTTTTAAGGCCTCTAAATAGTTTGTTAAGAGTGTTTTAATCTTTGGGGTTGTTTGACCCCTCTTACGCCTTGTTTGGCCCTTGTTTTGTGCTATTTTGTGTGAGCTCCGGGACTTTGGTGTTTGGGCCTCCTCACCACTGAAATCTTGAGGGATTTCAGTGGTAAGGATGGTGCCTTGAGGTCCCAAGAAGGAGAGGGCCACCCCCTCTCCTTGTTGTCCTTGAAAAGGACCATTTTTGCCTCTTGAGGGAGCACCTAGCTTAGGCTCTTGTTGACCATGCCTTAATATAAGTATGACTATCAAATAAAGCAAAATACAGAATAAAGCAGAAATGGCAGAGCTGTGTGTTGTGCAGTGTATTGTACAGAGTATACAGTGTGTGCAGTATACAGTCAAGGTAAAGCAGAGTATATGTGTGCCGCGTGTGCAAT